TGTGTTTGGCATTTTGCATTAGTCAATTGCTTCGATTTGGCATCTCTTCTTTGTAAATTCACGTTATGTGGGTTAATGTTTACTATTTTTAAATTACAGCGGTGACTATTTTATTTTTCTTTAAAAAAAACTAATATTTGGTCTTTAAATTCCAAATTAACTCAAAAGCAACGTCAAATATGTTAGGTTATTTAGGTATCAATGTAAACAATACCAATATAATGAGTATTGCCGGTTGCTTTCGAAACTCTAGATAATCTAAGATTTTCTTTCAAATGTATACCTTATGTTCGGACAGAGGGATTATTAAAAACAAATCAATCTTGAAAATTTAAATACATTTATGATGATAGATTTTCTATATTGTAACATATTATAAACGATTTCACACATAAGCTATAATGTATTCATCTTAGTATCTTAGTAATACAGATTTTAAGAGGTCTGCGCGCACAACATAGGCTCACATCCGCACATGCCATAATTGTTCCATGTTGTTCCTATTGTATGTACTCTCGACCATCGAAAATATATAGGCAACCAAGCATTATTTATCAATATTTTACGGTTAACCAGCAAGAAAGCAGACAAATTCAATACTTTCAATCAAGTGCGCCTATTTTTTCAACAATTCCTATTATTAATCTGAGGTAAGTGACTCGATTGACACACACTTGTCCCGGCCATGTAATTTAATTCATTTATTTAAAATATATGGATTACACAAAATTTATTGTAAATAGTATATCAACCTATAATGCAACAAAGGTAGGGAATGGCGGATAATTATAATATAGCAAATAATATACAATATAATTATATAATAGCAATAATACAGATCTACAAAAAATCCAATGATTATATGTCAATTGATAAATCTACCCGTCACAAGATAAAAAATTTACTGTATAAAAATATATAATTCTATGAAACTAACAATAAAAAACATTTGTACGAATATTTCCTCAATTCTCAATTCCAGCATTTCTCAACATTTGGGTTGAATTGGGACTCATTACATTTTTAATGGGTTGTGAACTGCCAGCTGTCATCTTGTGTCAAAGTGAAAAATTGGTAAAATACTCTTAGCAATTGTGTTACAAACAAATATGTGGGGTCGCACGAAAAAATGTAGAGAATCGTCCCAATGCGTAACTTTTCTCATATGTTTTATTCTTCAACGTTATTTGTTACATTAAATATTTCATCAAAAAATAAAATAATATCACAATCGTGATTATTTAAGAACGAGTTAACTGATAAAACACATAATGTTGTGTGTGTATGATTTTATACAATTTTAGTTGAAGGTTTTTTATACTATTGTGGTAACAAACAATTAAATAAACGATTCTGGTCATCAAATATCGGAAGTTCGCAATCAAGTTATTTCTATTCGATATATTCTGTGGTTTGTACATGTTTTACCTTTCGACCGATTTATTTTATCAAAGTTCCAAATCGAATTTAATTGAATGCCACAAATCCACGGTCCAAATGGACATTTTAATTAAATATATATATTTATATATTGTACCATTTATATTGAAATTAAACTACAGAGTCAAAATAATTAATTTTGAAATGTTTTTTAATTTCTCAAAATGTTAATATAAAATATATATTATATTATAAAATGATTAGCCCGCATTTGTATGTATATGTATAATACATTTTTTTTATTATTATTATTATTCGTTTTATTGGGTTGGAGCATAACCTTTCTGTAATCAAATTATAATATTTGGTTGGTGCATCATTATCAGGTGTTTTTAAAACAATATTTATTATGAAAAAAGAAACATAAAAATTCTACAATAACATTTTTAAATGATTATTCCGGAGCGTAGTCACCTTCTACTTCAATAACTGCTACCCATTTACAAAAAATATTTATATTAAAAACAAGTAAACAAAACAACATTTTTTATAAACAAAAAAACGCCGTTTTTCAAATGCCTGATAATTATGCAAAAAATCCAATAGATTTATTTAATATATCAACAAAAATATATATGTTTGTTCACAATTTGTTAAATATTATAATCATTTGTGCATAGTGCCGTAGCAAAAGGGGAGTCTAATCAGAAGGGTATCAATGGCGCTGGTAATGGTATTGTTTTATTGAGGGACACCAAATAAGTATTTGGTCACTATGTGTTATGGTTGTGTATTAAGAGTAATTACATATTATGCAGCATATGCTTTTAAAACTTCATATTTATGGAATTTTAAAATCCATAGTCTTCTTATTTATGAGTATAAATACATATAATAGGTAAGAATATACATTTTTCTATCTACCTCCTTTTATTCTTTTTTTTTTTGGTAGAGGAGAGAAAACCTTACATATGGACTATAGGTGGAGTCGTGGTACTGTGGGATTCTTACCACACTAAAACCTCTCCTGTTCATCATCAGCATCCAGGTCCGGTGTTTTGACGTGTATCTGCAATGCAGATTGTCTGAGCAAGCTCTTCGCTTCTATGTGTGTCCACTGACACCTTCTTCCCTTTCTTTCTCCATCCTCCGCTCGTCATTTTCCTTAATAGAGAGCACCACTGCTAAATAAATTGTGACGATGTCCCACTTTTGTCGATCTACCTGGAAACACAGTTTGAAAACTACTAGTCTACAGCATCTCCGGTGTCTCAATAAAAAGTCCAATATCAATTGAGAGCAGAAATAGATCTGTAAAAATAAAAAAAAATAATAAGCAATAAACAATTGGTAAGAAATAGATGCAATAATTTAAATTTTTTACAGCGAATAAGTTAACAATACATAAAAGAAATATGTATGCTCGTAAATAGAAACCAAATCTTGACGTGATATATGATCAGACGCGAAAATAACAAATTGTGTCAGAAACGCCAGTGCGCTCTATATTTGCTTCTTTCAAAGATAAATGATCGGAAATAATATTTGGTGTACCTGAATATTGTGATTAATGGCATGGTAAACGCATGCCAAGAAATCGCATTTCACCTTTTGATTTAATTGACTGAATTCAAGTTAATATTAAACTCATGGCACAAATTAGTTTCCAATCATTAACAAAAATTTAAGTTAAATCGCATTGAGTGGCCTCAAGAAACAAAAGACCCTTATATTTTAAATAAAAGTAGTTGATGCAATAATATAGTAATATAATAATTATGTTCCAATTATATATATTGAATAATGAAAATGAACGAGATACGAATTTCAGCAAATGTTTGAAACGGAATGTGATTGAACTAATTCGAAATAGTTGAATAAACAAATAATGCAACAAATATGGTCCTACACATATACAAAGGACTATTGATCGCAGTATTTCCGCCCAAATGCACAAATTTTCTTGAATGAAGTAGATATAAATAGAAATAAATGTTACTATTTAAATCTTCAAAATGATATAATATTTGTGTAATGATCTACTTAAAACAGCATTTTTTTAAGATGCAACAGTGGCATGTTCTCGTATAATTTAAGGTATTTTCATACATTTCAGAAAACTATGAGGATCCAACAATGAATCTTCTTTTCTCAATTGAAATTTTATAATTTTACTATCTGAATTATTTTTTGTTAGATCACAATAATTGAAACTGACAAGAAAATTAAACAAAATAAAGTTTCCGTAAATTCAATTAAATATTTAAATCTATTAATCTATTATACGGACAATTTTTAAACATTTGCAATGATATATCTTTAAATACAATTTACAATTTATTTTAAGTAGTTGTTTTCTATTTTCCCCGGGAAATATGGTAGACTATTCTAATTACTGTGGTCGAAAGAAGTAAATCAGTATTAAAAAATATACTCTTTGTTAAAGTAAGAAAAGCACGATTATGTATCCATAAAGGAGTTTCCAAACTTTTCGGTTTGTGGCGCCCTTAATATAACATAATTTTTCCGTGGCGCCCCAAAACATTAGTCTATCTCAGGACGAACTTTATGTTAATATATCGGAATTTTCGCCGCGCCCCTGAATACCTTAAATGGGGCACCAAAAAATCATAACTGTTGACAAACTGCAGCCAAGAATGGTTTATAAAAATGTATCGCTTCAGTTTAGTTACGTTAATATACCTAATTAGAAACTCTTTTCTACCATATTTAAAATATACATAAAATAAATTATGGAAAATATGTATGTGTATGTATCTTTATTTCTAATTAAACTATAAGTCTAGAAGTAAAACAAACTATTGTTATTTATAAAATATAAATAATAAGCAGTGAACCTCGCTTAACGAACAAAATAAATTTTAAGAAAAATGATTAGCTTAACGAGCGACGTTATTTCGATTATTTGGAATCATTATTATAATATATAAACAAACTATGTGCACTTTTTTGTATATACAAATTATAAAGAGATAATGGAGTCAGTTGAAGAGAGTTTAACGTATGTGAATGGGAAAATAGTTCCTGGTTTTGTTGACATTCTAGTTATACCTTAGTGTTGTTTGTGATCACACATATTTCCAAACTTGTGTACAGACATGATTTTTTTGTGCAAAATTTAATAACACTTATATAAAATGCCAAACAATAAAAATAACCATAAATATGAAAATCAAGATCATTAAAAATCAAAACCAAGTTATACTTTTTTTTTCCGGCGTGGAACGCATTGTCGTATTTTACATTTTACAATAGAGAAAATAATCACTATACGAGTAAAAATCCGGAAATTTTGGAAATGATTATGCTCTTTAAGCGAGGTTCCACTGTATATTAAATCTAATTACCATAGGTGTGTCTGTCCAAATATTTTTACTAGCCAAATATGTGCCATATGTCGAAGGAAATAAAAAAAAATGTTTTTTTTTTGTTACCTAATAAAATACGTATTGCGTTCCCTCTTCCGTGTGTATGATTTTTTTTTATTATTATTAATTATGGCAGAGCTTATTCAATATAATAGTTTGAAGTGGATGGTTATGAATGTTCCGCCATTACTGCTCTATCCCTCGCGATCACTCTCATACCCTCTTGCATTCTCTCATCCTGCTTTTTTCCCTAGTGTTTGCTATTTATTATGTAAATAAACGTTCGAGTGTCACGAGAGATCGGTGCTTTAGTGCGCGCGTGTATAAGTCGAAAGAGCGAAATTGACCACACAGTTCACCATCCATCGCGACAATACGGACACGAACGTGTCCTGCTTTCTTACCGTGTTTGCTGCATGAGTGTATATGCTTGTATCTTGGTCCTTCTGTTGCTCTCATCCAGACAAAACAAAACGAAAGGAGAAAAGTTTTAACCTTATTCTGCCTTTTTTTCGCTCTCCTATTTTCGCCTGATCGCGTGCTTGGACAGTTCACAACAGTTGAAATGAGTGGTTATAACGAGCCGCGAATAGCCGATATCCTCGAGAACGAAGACGACGACAACAGCGTCTCGACGACGACGTCGACACGTCAAATGAACACTGATAGGAATCAATTTCAGGTAAAATCATCATTAAAAATTATATCTAATAATAATTATTATCTAATAATATATCTAATTATATCTAATAATAATTATATGTATAAGAGTATTATGACAGTTACGGAATGTTATTTTAATATATCATCTACCATAATTATTAATAAAAAAATATCTGTTATTCATAATTAAGGATAATTAATACAGAAACTGTGTACAGATTACATTTATGGAAATTATGTCAAGTATACTATTATTTTCATGACTTTATTTACGAAATAATTAATTAATTTAATAATTAATATGGTTAATTCTAACTATCATTAATGAAAGAAAAGCAAACAAAAAAAAAGCGTTTCGTCCCATACATCGATCTTCTTCCTGAGAACAGCCTTATGCCAATGTTTCCAAACTGTTTTCTGGCTAATCTTCAGTTCATGGGCAATGGAATAAATACTCGCACGCCGGTTTATATCTAATGTAAAGTTCTGTGTCAAAACACTAACTTTCATCTATTCATTAAAAGGGCTGACAACTTATCAAGCAGTCACGTTTGCACATAATATAAATTATATTTCTATATAATTAATATTTTATTGATATATACCAGTGGTGGCCAGATTTTTTGCAGCAAGAGCCATAGTTACCTACCTAAAGTTTTTGGTATAAAATAAAAAAAAATTGATTCAGAATGTATAATATTTTATTTATTGTTTTGACTATTTACCATCAAGTACTTAATAGTATATATGTATTATAAAAAAAGAAAAGTTTGAAACAGGATAAGATTAAATATGATTACTCTTAAAACATTAATAACAAACTTAGTATATATTTCAATAGTACAATAATAATGATTGAAGTATTTTAATTATTCAAGATATTTGGTTTGTGTCAATAAAATAGTACTACTTTGATGAAACTAGTAAAGTTAATAAATTTGTTTCAAAATATATTGTATGTGGTGAATAGATCGTCAGAATTGTGACTTACTAACAAAAACACAATATAGTAAAAAATTATCAAAACTCAAAAACATGCTAATGTGATAATATCTAGTAATGTTATGCGAGTGTGTATTTGCACTTATAATTTGCGTTTTATCCACAGCTGTTATAAAAACAGATATTTTGATTTACATACGCAAAACATATCACGCAATGCTACTGAATATGAATACTAAATAAATATTATCCAAATAACTGTATTCTTAATAAAAAAAAAATTTAGACAGTGTAAGAGGATCAATATCGCTATTATTTAAAGCTTTTTTTTAAATTTTATATAATTATTTGTAATTTTATTCTTTGTAGTGGCGCAACATTTTACGCTACATTAACACAATGGCTAAAGACTATTCATGTATTGTATTCGTAACTCATGTCTCACTCAGATAGTATTTATTTAATATTGATTGAATAATTACAATATATAACGTTTTTAATGATAGTGCTAAAATACTAAATTATGACGATAGATGTAATTGTAATATTTTTTTATCGTCCTTTTTATTCACGACTGTTCTATAATAAAAACATTCAGTAAATGATCTGGCGGTTGGCAAGATTTTAATTGGACATTGGTGATTATCTATAAATATTGCTTTACAAACAATGCTGGACTTATTTATGATTTTCTAAAAAATGTTCTTATTTTATATATGCTTATACAAATTTAAATAACCCATATCTCTCTTCACGCATAGATATTTTCTGTAAAAGATGGTCGTATAGTGGCTAACGAAACAATTATTTTGCCTTCCATTCTGCTTCTTTTTACAGTGTTTTTTTTTGTGGTATGACGAAACATTGTGAGCCATTATTAAAAAAGGCCGTTATAGCGAAATGCCGTATAAACAGCGTCCGTATAGCGAGGTATAGGTGTATAGTTTTTTATATAATAATATTATTTATTACAACAGTTACATTTATAAGTAAACAAAATCATCAATTTCAACCACATGAACCAAAAATACTAAAAACAATAATATATTTTAAATACTATAGAAAAATGCCTTAGTTTTGACTTTAGCCAATTATTGTATGAAAAAACTGTAAATAGAGAAGCAATATAAGAGATATAAACCAATTCGATAATAATCAGCACCCTTGAGAATGATTTCTAGTCCCTTTGCGGACCATAATTCTTCTATTTTATCATTATCTTGAAACACCAACTTCAGATAATTTGTAGTTGCTCCAAAGAAAAGCACTCAACACATTAACTATTTTGTGCACTATGTATAATTCATCTAATAGATTTATGTATTTTATAACCTATTTATCTTAATACCAAAGAGATTTATGTTATTTTTTATATTGATTAAATCAATTTTATATAAGAGACTGTTGAGAAGAAGATAGCAACAATTACTATATAAATATGTTGAATTTTAAATATATTATACGCATCAACATGATTGTTTATTATTATAATAATAATTTTTTGTACCCAACCAACTGCTGCAAAAGTTGATTTTTTAAATTTTATTATATTGTGTTTTAATTTTGTAATTCATTCTTGCCATAAATATTATAACTGAAATTAAATTGATTCTATTATGTTCAATTCTGATACCAAAAGACATCAATTCGTTTTATTCCAAAAAAATATTTATTTTCAAACTATAAAATTACAGAAAACAACATCCTAATAAACCTCTACACAATCCTCCTAATGATCTCCTTTACTCCAAAACCAAAATAGTCCCTCTCCTCGACCGATACCTTACCCTCTCCTTCAAAATCTAAACAGTCCAACATCACCTTCCTCTCTACATTCTGTGCCACTCGAAACCCAAATATCGTTCCCAAATTTAAATGTCCCAAATTATCCCTATTCCAATACCTAACGTCCCTAGATTGATACCCACTTGTTCCTACTCAGCTACTCATATATTTTTATAACAAATTCTATAACATATACTTGCTTCAAATGCGAGAACCATTATTGATTACATAATTATTTCGCAATTAATATAATTTTAATTTCCACATGTCATTTATTGATTTTTAATTTTGTAATTTACTTTATTAATTTATTACGTATTGATTATTCTTTTAATTGTGTTGTTTATTTATTGTTCTATATTTTTTATATATCATAATTATTTAAATTGAATTCGTTCAAAGTTTCATAAACATTACATGTCAAAGTTTGGATTCTTTAGCTGTAGTTACAACTTGTCTATTACTAATATGAAACATAAAAAATAATACGGAAACATTGGAAATGTTTATGTATGTTCTCAGAACAAAATATAATATATTTAAATCACTTAAAGTCAACTTATAATCAAGTTACTAATATGTAATTATGTGATTATATCATTTTTATATGCTATAGATATTCTTATTATTATCATTCTAACAAATGAAATAATTTCTAAACTAGAAAAACATAACTCTTATCTTTTTAATTTAATAAATGTTGAACAAGTTTTTGATGCAATTACTCAAATAATTATAGAAAATTGATGAGTATCTAGCAACTTTGATATATGAAATTCATTAATTAGGGTAATGTTGCTTAAGTCGTATCACTTCTTAAAATTTAGGAATTTTGAATGTAATAAAACGACAAAATCATTTTACGAGGTATTAAGATGTACACTTTAGTTAACTATTGTTGTTTACACCTATTATTATAGTATATAAACAAAGATCTATGTATTAGAGACCTCCACTAAATCTTCTATGCATATCGACTTTTTATATAAAAAAACGTCAAGTACAATCACACTTCAACAAAGAATCCTAATTAATAGGCTTTTTGATATAAACAAATGTAAAAGTTGGTTGTATCACAAAATCTGATTCAGATCAGGCTCAAATCTCAACAACAAAAAGAAATGTAAGATGTTTGATCCCATATCTCCGTATTACAACTCCCATCCCAAAATAATAATCTACTTCGTACATAAAATATGTCTTTAGAATTAGTCATAATCGTAATGTTAAATGTGCTTACACTATAAGAATGTTAAAAGAAGAATAATCGCCAAGTAACGAATAAAGTTATGTAATAAGTTTTTACCATTATGTCGTTGCCGTCTTGTAGGTTAACTTTAGTAATATTGATGCTCTGCGATTCCACTATTCTCTTTGTCTATCCTTAACACCGTCGAATTGGCTGAAGATCCATCCATATGCTGAATCTTTTTCATTTGACTG